GCGGCAATCACCCGGGTACCCAAGGATGAAAAGTGAAGTGAAATTGGACGGAAAATTGAAATTGACAGAAAGTGTACCAGTGAACGGTGAACACTTTGAAAAAACGTGTGGTCCTCCCTCCCTCCTGTTATTTTGAGTCCCTTTTTTTTTTTAAAGGCTCTCCTTTGAGATTTTTTTTCCCCTTTTAAATGTGACAAATCATGATTTAAGGCTTGAATTAATGTGTTCTTGTTAGGACAGTCACAGTGGACATTCTGTAACAGCTGAAACAATTCCTTTTCCAAGAGTAATATGCAGTTTCCGTGATGTCTTTAAGTGACAGCAGGAGGAGCTGTGAGCAGTTTCCTCAACACAAACAACATCTTGGGAAACAGTTAGTCTGAGTTTTACAGAAACACTGACATCAACAGAAGTTTCATGTTTGCCATCAAAAATTCATGGAAACCACTTCGCAACAATAACTGCAATCTGTTGGGTTCTAAACGCGCATGTGCTATTCAGTGTAATTTACAAACAATTCAAGAGGAGCTTCTGGCAAGACCATACATCATTTTAATACTTGAAGCAACCTTTGCATTATAGTTTTCGACACATAGAGAAAAACAAAGGAGGGCACCTAAAAAAAAATACACTGCAGGGGTTTTGTTAATTACTGTGGACCCCGGTCCTGTGGTTTCTCACTTTTCACTTTGACAACTTCCTCCCAAGACCCTTTTAGAGATGGAGTATCCCTCATTAGCCATCCAAAAGAAGGGGGGGAAAAGATCAACGAAATAAACGCAGCCAAGCACGGGGAGAGATAGATTTACGAGGATGAATCCCTGCCCAGATTTACGGGCCATCTCTACCCTCTTGAACAGAGAGGGTTTGAATTCCCCATTGCGTCTCATTCACAAGGGAGTGGCGTTTGGAATTTGTCAGATTCTTTAAAAGATTCTGCCCGCCCTCGGCGGGAGTGACATTAGAGCAGACCATGCAGTATTAACCCACAACATTTCAGTAGAGTTAGAACTCCAAATTAGCTGAGTTTTACATTTTGTTACTGCTGCAATATCACATAAATTAAAAAGTGTGGACATTTTTAACGTTAAATTTTAATACAGTGTTGATTGTAGGCCAATGATTTTGAAAAGAGGCTGCGTGCATATCATTTCCTAATTTTTGTTTTCAGATTTATAGCGTGCAAAACTGAAAGTCTCATGCAGCTTGAGGTTTTCAATTTTTCCCAGAGATCATGGATAATTCTTAAATTTGGCAAGATGCAGTGTGTACAGATATCTCGTCAGATGAGTTTTTCTAAGGAATCAGTTGTGTTCCCGACACTAATTTGGCATGTCTCCCACACAGTTTCCTCGCACCAGGTGGCACTGTCTCCCCAACTCACCACACCAGAATTCCCGGCCCGAAACCAGCCCCCGCTCCAAAACCAGGATCCTAACCAGATTAATACAGAAACATTTGGACCTCTTTTCTGGGTCAAACGGTCTCCTTTATTTTTCCCCCCTCATGTTCTTGGCAGTTTCACATTTCCAGCCAGGTCCTTCTGCTCCCCGGGTGGCGTTTTCTTCTACCCCCGGCACTCGTGAGAAGAAAGTCAGCAATCCTGACGCAGAGACATTCAATCTGTTTGAAAACATGTTTAATATGCAACCTAGAAAAGGCGCCAAGTCTAAGAACTTTGAAGTTGACCTTGCAGAGCTTTCCAAAGTACTTCCTCACTGTGGAAAGAAGTTCTTATTTCGGGATTGATTAAAGCTGACGAATCCAACTGTCATTGTACACATTTAGGAGACAGTCATTCTCAAAACTGTGGTGTCGCCATAGTGAAGGTAACTCTTCACCTGTACCATATCCGAAGGTTAGAGCGTCATTGTGTAGTTGTAATACTTTAGATAACTCTGTGAAAATGTATGGAATGGCATTCTGTGTCTCTGAATTCATACTAAATAGCCGAGATTGTTACGTACATGTGCCTTATCTTTTCTTATTTTTCCGATCCAAGATCAAACCTAAACATAGAACAAGACAACAGCTGATTTGTCCATCAAAGTTCCATCCCAGTCACCTGACAGGATTTGGCCAATCAGCAGCCGGCCTGTAGGCTTAGCCCTGGGCTGTCTGACACCAGCAATGAGAAGGTCAAGAAATCTTCCCTGTATAGAGCAGTTAAGGTCACATCTGGATATGATTTCATAAATTCACAGGCCCGCTTGGTACAGTACTGTAGTGTGTCGGACAGAAAAGAACAATTCACCAACTTACCTCACTCAGGTTTGGGGGGTACATTTGGAGAACACATTTCCACAAGGTCACAGATTCAATATTCTACTTCCTGGGATGATCCTACTTCTGATCCACAATCAGTTGGAGGAAAATGCATCAACAGATGACACTGGTGCAGTGATCGAAAGGTTAAGCTTGTAGAACGCCTTTGTTGATTCAGATCATGAATTCTGCCATGGTCTAACATCTGGAAAAATGACTAGGGTGTCTCGTCCACATATGCTGCAGTGTGGGAGTTGTTGTACATGTAGCTGTGTTACTCTGTCAATGGACAAGATGCTCAGGTATCCTGCATTTAACCAGAAAATATCTCTGCAGAGTCATTGGACAGTTTTTCAAAAAATGCATTACATGTACGATCATTCCCTGTCTTGATGTTGATTTTATGAAAGTGTCAAGTTCAGTTTTTCATAATACAACTGTAGTCCTACATTTCTTCCCTTCAAATTGATTTTATTTTCATATTTGCTGAGATGTATAGAAATTACATAATTTTTTTTTTTACATTACTGTCAAGTCATTAAGTAGACCCTCTGGTTTAGAATATGCAGCTTGTTCTCCAGTCTGTGTCAAAATGATCCCGGGGCATTCTTTTGGTTCTTGTTGACATCTTGTGAACTATTCTTGGACAAACACCAGTCATTTGTTCCCTGTGTGTAGTACATTCAAAGTAGAACTGATGGCAGGCCCCTTGGCCACTCTTGATTTGGAAAGTGTGCGGACGGCTTTCGTCTGAAAGCATGGAGGAAGGAGATGTATCTAGAGCCCCTCTCAGGTCAAGTACAATGGTCGGCATTTTCAGCACCCTGGTCAGTGCACTTGGGGGCATTTTTCACTTCCTCGGAAGCTGGCATTTCGTATACTGCAGAGTCGGCCCTCAATCACTTTGTACTGCACCCTCTGGGCATTCAGTGCCAACAACCTTGCCATTTTGTTCCAGCATTAGACGCCCAGGGGTGTGTTAGAAATCCCTTTAAAAAAAAAAAAACAAAACAGACAAATGAGAATATTGTTTTCAATTTTGATTCATTTCAACTGTGAGTTTATGGCCCTGGGGCCACACTAGTCAGGTGGTTGACCTGGCCTGTTCTTTCATGGCAGCCATGGCAACCGGTGGATTTGCATAAGAGGTCAGTTTGTCTAGACGCAAACCAAGTGCTGTGCCCAGGAAAAACAGTTTTGCAATTGTCATAGTTGCTGTCATGCTCTCAGTTGTCAAAATTGACTGGTCCGTGTAAAAATGAAAACGAAATGTTTTCCTAATGAGTGATTTCCTGAGAGAAAAATAAATTAGCTTAACACTCAGTTATTTTTGTTATTGGATAACAGCTGGAAATGAGAATTAATCCAGCGTAAATTGTTTCCATGAAATGTTCACTGCCAAGTTGTGATTTTCACAAAGAAGTATTGACTCACACATTTCTTTTATTTTAAAGTTTGAATCAGTTATACATGCTAGCACACACAGGCCTTCTGTCAAATGATTTTCACTAATTGGTCAGTAATCCTCAATTTTAAATAATGTTACCCCTGGTATGACATGTCTAAGCCAGAATTGTTTGAAATTACACAAGCATGGTATGTGGGTAATTCCAGAAATTAGTGGTCCAAAAGTGTGACATCTTCGAGTCCCTGTTACATCTGACCTTTGTTATTTGACGTAGAAATATCACTGGAATTGATTTCAAACTAGTACTAATACTATTTGTTTAGCAGGTAATTTGCATTAATTCATCACTCCTGGAAAATAGAGAGTGTGTTCTGAACTTACAAAATCCTGTGTCAGATGTGACAGGGACACCAAAAATTGGACCCCTAATTTCTGGAATTACCCATGCAGTATTTACAACCACTTTTTCAGAAAACCTATTTTGGAAAAAAGTTACTGATACCTCTGTCTATGAACATGGTAGCAAGTTTTCTTTTTTCCCTCTTGAAGCGACCTTGGTGAGAATTCGAAGAGGCCACACAGAGCGTGTCAGGCTTTAATTTTTATGCTTGCTAGACGAGTTGACATCAGCATGGCTAATCTGCTCTCTGTAGGGGTTTTTTATCCCCCTTTCCATTCCTGAACATTGGCTGTGGCCTTCACCTTTTTTGATCATGCATGCCCTTGTTCGGCTATAAATCGAATATTGATTTAGAAGTTTCATTCACCATGCATGACAGGTAATAATAGATTCGTATTTGTTAGCAAAAAGTTTTTTTGTTTTTTGTTTTTTTGTAGAAAGTCAGGGTTTTGGCGGGGTGCCACCAACTTCTTTTGTTACACTTGGTGACTAAGATTTGTAGTTATGAAAGGTTTACAGGTTTGTACAAAATGTAGATAAACAGGGATTGGTGTCACTGATTTTGAAGTGGATTTGAAGTAGAAATGAAAAAAATTCAATTGTGCAATGAAGGTTAAACGATAATGTTTGTTGGAGGGTCTAAAGTGAGACAATCGCGCTTGACAAGAATACCTTGATTCAAAATCCTGACTCGGCCACAGTGTGACAATCAAACATTTTTCCAAACTACCAGTACTAGAATAAAAGGGATTTTTTAAAATCTGGAATCAAATGCTGCTTGCTTGTTTTCAGTTTTTTCACCTCACTGAGCTCATGCATGCTTTTCTTCTGTTTTTTTTCTCCCCCACTCTCCCTTCCTGTTTCCCTTTTCTCTGTATGTTTCTCTCTCCCTCTGTTCTGTCTATTGTCTGTCTGTGCTACCCACAGGAACCCCGGGACAAAACCTGGTCAAAGTAAACTGCAAGAGCTCCCAGCTCAGCCAAGTCCAAGGACAATAGGCACAGCCCTCTGACTGCTCTGTCTAGTGCACGGCCACCCACACACGCTCGCACGCTCACACTGGGTCTTTTTCAGGGGGGCCACTACCGCATTTTGTCGCCTACTACCGGCTGGCTTCTCCTGCTCAGTCCCTGCCCAGCTTGGCCTGCCTGCTTGCCCTACGTTACATGTCAGCCTCGCATCGCTCCACCCGGCCAAGCCAAGTCCAGTCCTCGTCTTGAATCACACCGCTTGAGGCCCTGTTCCCCCAGTCAGTCTGTCGGTGTGGCAACACAACTGGTTTCCTGCCGCATGAAGTACCGCTGCCACACAAGATTTGTCAGCCGGTGACCTGTGGCCTTGCTGGATTTTTGGTGCCTCCTCAGGGAGATAAAGGAAAGAAGAAGAGGAAGAAAAGGAACAAAACACCTAGCTGGACCTGCTCCTGTGCCCCCCTTGACTCTGCCTGGCTTTGCTCGGCTTGCTGCGCCCATTAAATTACATGTAGTCTTTATGCAGCTGACGTGGGAGCTGTCTGCTTGTATGCCGTACACCTCTTGCACAGTGTGCCCGGTGGTTGCCACATTGTTGCCCGACTGTTATTATTCATTGAAATATTCACTGAACTTCAATTGCACACTCCCTCGGAACAGAACAACAAGCGGTGTGACGTTGACCCACGACCCCTAAGGAGTAGAGGTGCAGCTTTTTACCTCGCCTGCTACCCTTTCTCTCTCTCACAGAAACACCTCCCTCCCCCCTCCACCTCTCCCAACACAACCTTTTTTTTTTCCCTGTCTTGTTTTTGACGAGTGGAGGAGTAGACCACGTGAGTTGAGTGAGTGCCAGCGAACCCTGCTCCCTTGGACTTCTGCTGTCCCGCTATTGAGCTGATCGGGGGCCCCAGCGCGGACTCTTGGCGGTCGTAGCCGCATCATTATGGCCATAGTAAGAGACACACAGTGGCTTATGCTCGAGGCCTGCCGTGAGTTCCAGCGCGGCGCGTGCAAGAGACCGGACACCGAGTGCAAGTACGCGCACCCGGCCAAGTCAGTCGTGGTGGAGAACGGACGGGTGACGGCCTGCTTTGATTCCCTCAAGGTATGTTACTTATTTTCAGTTTGTCTTTGTGTTTTGTTTTGTTTTTTTCTCTTCTTCAGTCCCATCCCTGGTTCCTCACACCATTGCTGACCCCCTTTCTCCCCATGTGGCCACCATCCAAACTAAGTAATTAATAGGCACTGTCATCTGGCTATTTCCTCCCCCCCACCAGGACTGACATCAGAGATTTCAATAATAATAAACTGCATTTGTTTAAATTTTGTTCACATTCATTGGAAGGGCACCTCCTTTTTGTCAGGCCCTCAGCCTTTTGTCAGTTGAATGAGTAATCACATCTGAGTCTTACATTTCTCAGCCAAACTTTGTCGCTGCACATGTCTTTTGAAGTAACTCTTCTCTGCATCTAGCGTTACGGAAGATGTTCTGAAGTCACTGGCGAGACATTGTCAGCTTTCTGTTATTAATCTTGTTTTTCACAAACATTTGTCTTCATTTTGATGAGTGCTCATCTTGAACGGAACTTAGAACTACCCTTCAAAATCGCACCAGTTTTGATTTCTTTAAACACAAGTGTTAGTATAAGCAAACATTTCAGTTTGCGGGAGCTGTATTGATTGTACACATTGTAACTTGTGACAATTCCTCGTTGACCATTCATGTGACTCTGTGTTGTTCACTTAGTTGTTAATTAAGCAGAGTAATTCCCACGAATGCTATTTCATCAGTAATCAGAATTAATTGCAAAGTTCATCCATCGTGGACTTGCGCTGTGACATTTTCTAAAATGTGCAGAAACGTTACTGGCCTTTTACTTCCAGAAATGAAGCAAATAGCAGTTTTCCTAAACATTCCATTATATTTTTACATCAGAGATTAGTGCCAAACTGTCTTTTGACAAAACAAATCCAATTTACAAGTTTTATGCTTTACTTGCATACATATGTACGTGTTTCCTCCCCAAAAGCGCCAACGTTCATGACACAGAGCTGAGGAACAAAGAAAGTGCACCTGATTGGTACAATTAATTGCAAATACATTGTTGAAAGAAGGAACTTGAATTGTTATCAGCAAGAGTCAACCCCCTAGTGGGTGCAGTCAACTTGAAGATATCTTCCACTCATTCACGCTTGTACATGTACATGTCTGGGCCTACCCAGATTTCTCGCCTAAAACTGTCAGCTACTGATTTTGACCAATTGTAGAAATGTTTTTGAGGTTGTGTTTTGATATTGTGCGATAAATTTTGTTTTACCTCCCACTTAAAGAAAGAAAGAGACGGTTAAACTTGAAAGGCCAGCAGGTGATTTCAAAAGCCAGGATTTCCTGTTATAGGAAAACCATCTTTCATGTCAAACTTGGCAGAAGAAAGATGGTCGTCAGGAGAGATTAGTCTGCTAGGAGCATAAGGCGCATTAAATGAAATTTACTCGAGAGAGATTTCCCATTGCATGAAGTGGATTGTGGATTGCAAGATACAGATGTTTTTGTTTGTTTGTTTGGTTTTTTTTTTCAAGTAAATCAGCTTTTGGAAAGAATCTCATATGGCAGATAGGACAGGGTTTGCATGCGTCGGTCTGTTTATCGCGGAATGGATAAAGGATGTGAATTTGCTTCAAACTAATTCTTGGAAATTCAGTCTAATTTAATCAGCTCTTCCCAGTTTCCCTGAAAATGCAATTTTTCTTTGAAAATCCACATTTTGGGGGTCAAATTTAGAAGAAGGGGATTCTCAGCATTGTGAAGATCCAGTGATAGCCATCCGAAGTCCCCAAGCACACGTCCAAACCTTTACCCCAAACCTCCCTGTTTACTTCAGGTTAATGAAATAAAGATTTACGGTAGCGCTATGCAAGGATATCTCTTTTGTATTTATGGTTCTGAAAAGAACTGGTGGGTACTTAACAACGTTTTGGACAGCATGCGCTGTCCATTGTCAGGAGACTGCCCTGAATTGACTGAATTGGTACTTCACGTTTGTAATTAAACAGTGGACTAGTAGCCCTGCTTATGTCACGCTTGTCACAGACAATGAAGGAAATTTTGTCATGTTTATCAAAAGTGTTATGTTTTCAGTTTTTTCAGTTACCCATTTGTTAGGTCTTGTCTTCTGAGCTGTGATCAAGTTATCCCGATTAAAGGTATTAACAAGGGGGAAAATTGTTTTGCTTGTTTCTGAGGAAGTTTGCAACCAGTGATATTCTCAATCGGTTAATAACCAACAATGTAGAAACATGGGTAAAATCAGGGTAACGACATCTGGAAAAACATTCTCGGAGAATGGTTACGTGCAAGGCAAGGATGACTTCATCTGTCCTCAGGATTCATTGGGAATTCCCTTTTGAGTTTTTCCCCTGTTTAGACATTTTTGTACAGGTATTTTCAAATCAAACCTTGTTTCAGATAATGCGTCGGGTTTCTCAAAATCTATGTGTGCTTGATGAATCTGTACTACACTCAATTCAGAATCTTAAGAAGGATAAGCATGCAACTGTCATCATATCGAAACACTTTTCACCCTGAAATAAAGAAGAGAATCCGATATTCATTTTTCCCGCCACTGGCTTTTTTAAAAAAAATCTTGTTCAAATCGTAGCTTTGTGAAAATACAAAAGATTAAACCGCGACGAAAATTTTGTACGAGTCTGTTCAGAGTTGACCTTTAAATTCATGTGCAGTTCTGTGAATTGGTAATTTTGGACTAACCATGCGATTTGTTGCCACGAATGCATTGTTTTCATCTAAAAAGAAATCCAGTTCAAGCATTGATAATGCTTAATGCCTTTACTTAGCTAGGTGATCATTTTGCCCAAAAAGAGAGGTTTGGATGTGTAACATGTACACAGAAGTGCCAAGTTTCAATATACTGCTTGACAGGTAGTTAATCTTCAAACAAGAGAGTGCCCCTGGCTAAACAGCTTATTACTGTCCATAGAAATCTTATTTTCCCAAATTGTGACGGTATAAAAATGGACAGCACAATCTAACTTGCCAGAGTCTATTAAGTTTCAGGATTTTTTGTGTTTTTTTTTTTGGGTCAGGGCCTACTGTTCTTGGGTGCAGCTCCAAGTTGGTTCCCCAATGGTCGAAGGGGAGTGCCTTGCCATTCAGGTGAAGCAACAATGTGCTTTTGTGGGCCCCGCGAAGCTGTGTTAGACTTTAGCCTGGCTTTTGTCGGAACATTTTTTTTTCTTTCTCTCTCCATTTGTAATAAAAAAAAAACTTGGCGGGGTGATTGTGGGCACGTAATAAGCTCTCCATGTCTGGAGTAAGGTATTTCAGAGGGGGCGATTTTTGCTCCAGGACATGCTGGATGAATACAACACAGCCCTGCTGGTTGTTGTCGGTACCAGTCTGACCCAACAGTAACTGTGCTGGTGTTGCTGTGCCTCGTGTTGCCGGTTTTCGCTCTGTCTCGGTCGCAACAGCAAACAGAAGTACTTGTATACACAAATCCCGTGGACTTTATCAAGTTCAGTCGTCTTCCTGCAGGTACGTGTTTATATGCAACCTTTACCATAAATACAAGTGGGTAAACACGGGAGACATGTCTGACTAGACAGCATACAGAAATCAAAACATTACAAGAGTCCATACTTGCAGAATTTGTTGAAAAGTTTGTACTCGGCAGTGTGTAAGCTCACAGTAGCATGATGCAGACTGCAAAACAGCAGCATGGAAGGCCAACACAGAAAGACAGTGAATCTTGGCTGAGCCAAAACAAGTTAGCCTCACTTTTTGCACTGGTACATGTATATCTGCATGTGCCGCAACAGGAAAACTAAAATCGCAGTAGTAGAAACAAAATACATCATTTGTCCGTTCCATTTTTTTAAGCGTGTAATTCTTTGGAGGGGGGTGAAAGTAATCTGTAGCTCCACAGGACAGCAGTTTAGAAATGGGCCTGGCCTGTATGGACCCGCACGTGTTTTTTGACCCAAAACTTAGTGATACAGCAACCAGACAATCAGTTGCATTAAGTAAGGGAGAGTTTGTTGCAGCCTTCCTGAGTCAGGAACTAGGGGGGGGGAGGTCAGAGGTCAGCTAATAGTCTGCATTTACTGGATATTGGCTCCAGTGATTGGATTTGTCCCTTCAGTAAATGTGATTTTGTTGCCTGTGATAACATTTCTAGTTCATGTTTGCATTTTGATGTTTCATTTTCAACTGAGTTGTGGCATTGTTTTCCTTTCAGGTAGCTTTAAATCAGAGAACCCTTTGTCAGAAGATATCTATCTGTTGGTGCTATAGCTTTAAACTTAAGGCTTTTCTTTGCATATTGTTTAGTTTGACTTGCGTTTTCCAATCATTCAATCAGGACAATGCTAGATTTTTGTGGGGGGGGGAGCCTTCCATGCTGGTCCTTTCTATTGTCTGTGTGCCAATCGTTTGCAAGTATCTAGGTTAATAGGTTGCAGTAAGCACTGTACCGGTATATGTACCGTACATGTACTTCCCACCGTATCTGTTTCTTCATTTTTAATCATTCACTCTATTAGAAAATAAATAACGGTATGTACAGTTTGATGATTGATTGAAGTATTACCGTCTGGACAGAGAAGAGAAATCAATTTGACATGAAAACTGCTGTATTCTATCTGACGGAGAATGGTTTCAAAACAAATTTGGAACATTTTTGGCGGCCATTGGCCCGAAAATCACCTCCCCCCCATTTTTTGGGAAAATTAGGCCAACATGAAGCCTTTGGACAAGAGAACTGGTCTGAATCAACAACCGCGGCTTACTTGCATCTCTCATCACCTTCGTTCTGAAGAAATAAGCTCCTCCAATTGCATGATAAACTTCCACTGTTTTAAAGGGGGGGTCATCTACCCTTCACTAATAGATTTCCCCCAAATGTGAACGGGACACAGGAATTTGGGTCTCCCAGTGCCAATATTGACGACTAAGTTTCTCTGTGGAGGAAATTGTTGACATGTAATTAGAAGTCTTTGTGACATTTTGGGCTGGCGTAATTGTCATTACCTGGCCGAGTTTGATACCATCCTTGTCTGCCAGCCCGACTTTGACTGGCATCGTTT